CCGGTGGTGAAGGAGTAGCACAATCAGGTATTTGTGGTGGTAGGCGGCTCAATGCATCAGCATTTGCAGTCGTTTTCCCAGGTTGGTACGCGAGTGTATAGTCATATGCACTTAGCATGATGCTCCAGCGTTGCATATGGGGAGACAAAATAGGAGGAGTTGGTTTGTCCATAGTAAAAATTCCAAGAAGGGGTTTGTGATCCATTTGGATTTTGAATTGCGGCCATAAACATAATTGTGAATTTTTAAAACTCCTGCAATGATTGCCAATGCTTCTTTACCAATCTGTGTGTAATTCCTCTTGGTTGAAGTCATTGTTCTTGAGTAAAAAACAACAGGTTAATCTGTGCCATCAGGCAATGTTTGACTGAGGACAGTGCCAACACCAAATGGCGAGGCATCACAAGTAATGGACAGTGGCTTCTGCTCATCATAGTGAACAAGGACAGAGTCTAATGTCAGCAACTTCTTGATGCCCTGGAAGGCTTCGTTGTGCTGGCAAGTCCACTTCTACTGATCTCCTTTATCCAGTAAGCGATGAAGGGGCTCTGCTATGGTGGCTTTGTCTTTCAAGAAGATATGATAAAAATTGAGAAGTCCTAAGAATGCTTGAAGATCCTGTCTGCATTTTGGTATAGAGGCATCACGTATTGCTTTTACCTTGTCTTCAACTGGGTGAATGCCAGAAGCATCAATTTGATATCCCAGAAAGCTGATGCTGGAAACTCTTAGTTGACATTTCTCTCATTTTACTCTGATACCTGCTTTATCGAATCTCTGTAAAACTTCTCTGAGTCTCTCAGTGAGTTTCTCTGTAGACGGCCCCATGATCAAAACATCATCAAAGTATGGAACAACGCTGGGAATTCCTGCTAGCATTTTCTCCATGAACTGCTGCAAAACTCCTGGTGCCACAGAAATTCCAAACTGGAGGCACTTGACATGGAACACTCCCCGGTGTGTAATTATAGTTTGTAGGGGTGTGCGAAGCGGGCCCTATTCGATTTGGACTCAGCCCAAATCAGGGACAGTGATTCGATTTGTTGATTCGGACCCCTGTCCCTGATTCGATTCGGCCAGATCCGAATCTGAAGATTCGATGCTGATTCAGAGAATCAGCGATTCAGCCAGAATCACAGATTTAAAAGTTTTTTCTACATACCTTGAAGTAGCAGGCATGGCTTATGATTGCTGCGATGCTGGGGTGCATGGAGCATCCCACAGGAGTGCGGAGGGACCCTCCACATGCTCGGTGGTGAGCCTGGAAGTGAACTAGAAGTACCAGCGTGCTTCTGGTCCATTTCCAGGTCTGCTACCGAGCACACTGGGGAACCCCCTGCACTTCTGTGGGACACTCCATGCGCCCCAGCATTGCAGCACTCATGAGCCCCTGCTACCTAGAGGTATGTAGAAAAAATATTTAAAGCTGTGTCTATGTTCGAATCTCTCCGAATCGATTCGGAGTGTTCTGATTCGATTTGGAGAGATTAAAGGGTCCTCTGATTCGATTTGGATTCAGGCCGAATCTCTACTGAATCAAATCAGGGATCAAAGCTTCGCACAGCCCTAATTGTTTGGGCCTCAACAGCCTTGTCATCCACTATGAATTGCTGATAGGCTTGAGCGAGGTCAAGTTTGGCAAAAACCTTCATCTATGAGGGATACACTCGAACCTGAGCCTACTTCCATTTTGTACTTCTTTGCATTTATTACTATAGTTATAATCATCTCAGAACCTTGAGTTTCAACACCACCAACATTTTGAATCAAATATAGTTTTTGTACCTCACGTTCTGGGGAGGACTTTAATCTGTGAGTGGCTTGGGAGTGAATACATTTGCCATAGTCTTTTTGTCTCCCAGAATTGGCCTTCAAGCAGCAAAGCCTCTCTGTGTGGCCCTTCTTGCAGGCATGACACTCTGCCTTCCTAAACCTGTACTCCCTTTGTCTGTGTTGGCTGCTACAACTCAAACGTGTCTGTGGATTAATTGGCTTACATGGTGCTGTTGGTGAGGGTATAATCTGCTGAATTTGCTGGTGATGAGCTGTTTCTTGATCTTTTTGGAGTAAGTCGACATTGCTGGAGAACGTCTGCCGAATTTCTCTCATGTTATGGGATGCTGCTTCAGCTGCAAAGGCTTTTTCTTGTGCAGTAGCCAAAGTGAAATTTGGTTCAGAGAGTAAGCAACATTGCATTACTTCATCTTGACCCCCGCAGATGAGATGGTTGCGAAGCAGGCCATCCAGGAGAGCACTGAACTCACTAATTTCCGTGAGGCGATGGAGCTTAGCCAGGTGATTTGCTATGCCTTCATTGGCCTTTTGGTCCTGTTTAAAAAAAAAAAATGAAATCTGTGCAGGGTACCAGATGGCCTTGGGCAAAAATGTGCCTTTAGCAGAGCAATTAGTTCCGCATAAGACTTGGTGTTTGGTAAGGCAGGTGCTGGGAGGGAATGAACAATGGGAAATGTTTTGGCACCGCAGACTGTCAGGAGGATCACGCGCTGCTGTTCTGGGTTTTCCACTTTGCTGGCTTCCAGGTAATAGGATAGCCTTTCCTCACAAGAGTCCCAAGAAGCCGGCTGGCTCATATCAAATTCTTCTATATGCCCCAATGTAGCCATTTTAACTAACATCGGCAGTAATAGACAGAAAAGAAGAGGAAGAAAAAAAACTTCCCCGGATCACAAAACACAGCCTGGTCTCAGAATGGCATCCCACAATCTAGGGGTGTCTTCTCAGCAAGCGTCCTATCCTCGTCGCCAGATGCTGTGTTGTGAGTTCAGCAACAACACTCTGGACACTCCTGTGTTGAACTAACAGTCATTTATTATTATAACTCTCTAGAATCATATTCAGGGTGGATCTAACAATTGTCCTTAGTAGATGTATGCAGAACTTATCCCTGCTCTGCCTCTGACTTGACCCCGTCCAGTCCTGTGGAGGGAGAGGAACCAAGAAAGCCACTGGCTCCTCATGGCAGAGATCATGGAGTCCCCAGTGCTGCAAAATTGCCACAACCAAACTGAACCCTGCAGTGCTGAATGGGAGGCTTTGGCCTTCAAGGGCGCTGCAAGGAAAACACAATAAGACACAACAGTTAGGACTGAGCATGCCCTTCCCACCTGACTGCAGGCCTGGGAGTTTGCCAAGAAGCCTCCTTATCCTCTGCACCTGCTCTCAAACCCCCCAGTCTCTAGTGGGGCTGAGAACGGGTGCTGGGGCATGCCTGTAGACTCAGGTAGGTAGGTCATATGTGGGTTTTTTTTGTCCTGTTTTGGCATAAAAGTCTGATTTTTTTTTTTTTTTTTTTTTTTTTTTTTTTTTTTTTTTTTTTTTGGTCTCTATTTGGCAGAAAATCTCCCAGTTTAAAATACAGGGGGGAAATTATATTTTTCACCTGTTGTATTTATATATATCCTATTGCAACAATGTCCATTTATTTCCTCCTTTTTTTCCTCCTGGCGATGCTGAAGAAATCTGTTGTCTGATAACCTGATAGTGTAATTACGTAATCTATAAAAGAGCCAGAAGGCATGAGGCAAGAGGGTAAAAATAGACGCATAGGAACAAAGAACAGGAAAACCTTTACTTGTTTTCAAATCAGGAAACTAATGAGATTTCACTAGCATAGTATGTAGAAATGCCACACAGGTAAATCTGGGGGATTTTCATCTACAGGGTGAGCTATAAGTACCTTCTTCATATAAGCTCTGTGTGGAAAATATACCTCTAGGGTTATAGCTACTGACTTGTGTAATTCAATAACATCTCGTACATTGTGAACATTCACAAGCTGTGAGCTAGCTGCAGACCAGGAGTTATTAAGAAAAATAATTAAAACAAATAACTATGAAGAATAAAGGGAAGCAAGGTTTGCTTGGTGATATCTCTAATTACACAAACTATATTGTTAGGAAAGATGTAAGACAAGCTTTCAAAGTGCCTTCAGCTCTGGGAAAGAAGCAAGTACAGCCTAAATAACAGGTAAAACAATAAAGTACAAGAAAAATTGTCTCCTGTCCAGAGCATTTTACAAAGAGACTACATGGCAAGATGTGACTAATTGGGGAAAAAATAGCAATCTTGGGTTCTGGTGTGATGACAGCAATGGAAGAAGACTGGCAATGATAAATATTTATAACATGAATTGTCTCACACTTGAAGTATTCAGGGTCAGAAGCTGAGGTAAATAGGAAGACAGAAAAAACTAGAACTCTTGGTTCCAAAATAATACCTTTTATTAGACCAACTGGGAAATCGGAGTAGTCCTTGGATCTTAATGTGCTTATTCCTCTTTGCGTTCCTATCAATGGCAGTAAGAATGGTGGTACTTGTACAGAGGAATAAAGACCCTAATTATATAGGGCATGATGTGAAGACAATAACAGAAGAGGCTGCCTGGTTCTCTTGCTAGGTAGATACGCATGAATTAGAATTACCCCCATAACTCTAACACTTTTATTTTCTTTATTTAAAAATGCTGGGTTGTAGAAAACCAGTGGCAGGCAGCCTAAGGCAGCATCAGGACACCCAAGAGGGTTCAGATCCACCAAACACCAACACCAAACTGGCTGGGTTTGCCCCCGACTGGCTGACATTTGACTTGGGTGAGTCACTCAGATGTGAGTTTAATGAAAGATGCCTTCTCTACTGAGAAGTCTCAGGGACAGGAGAAGGTATGTGGGGGGGAGTCATTGCACCAGGGCAGTGGTTTGGACAGTTAAAAACAAACTCTGCATCGAATAAAATAACCTCTAACAATCCTGAGCAAACTGTAAATATTCATGAGCTGGCAGCATCTCAGCAAGTTGAGTCATTTAGAAACTGGTGAAAATTCCACTGGCTTTCCCCCAGCATTTTGTGGTTACATGTGCTGTGCGGTATTTGATTCTGTTATCCAATGGTGTATAACTTACATAGCAGGGCTGGCAGGATATAAACATTTCCTGCCTCAGCCGAGCTAGGAAGCTGGCTGGACAACTTGGTAGCGTGTGGAAGCAGGCAGTAGTACAGATATTGGAACCCAGGACAGACTTCTTTTCATGGAGAGAAATTGCTTAAGGCTGAGACTGTAAAATCATATCAAGCCAGCGATTTCTGGTTTGCATTCCCCACTGGAGAGCAAACCACTGTCTCTTGTTGGGATTATGGGGAAATTGAAGCGTAAGCTCTTTGGAAAGGGAAAGCAGAAGAAAGCATCCTCTGGTGAAAATGCACCAATGCTTTCCCAAGAGACTCCTGAGAAGCGGGAAACCCATGGTTTTCAGGGAATTAAAAATATAGCAGGTGCACTGCTGAAGAAGGCAACCAGCGAGAAGAAAGATGCTAGAGAGAAGCTTGTGGCCACACAGGAGCCAAAATCCTCAGGTACAATGTGTGCAGCTCTGACCTTTCCTGTGGCTTGGCCAGCACTGGCCTTGTCTGCCTCTTTTCACCACAGCACTTCTATCTAGAACAAGCATCCTACATCTCCCCTCATTGCTTCTTCCTCTAGTTTGAAATCCTTCCTGAAACAACTTTCCTTGTAACTTTATTACTTTCACTCCTCTTTCTCGTTTTTTCTGGGTCACTTTGCAACTTTATTATTCATTGCTGCAAAGAGCCTTAGGATCGTTCGTATAAAATTTAAAATCAAACTGTGTTTTGTCATATGAGTGCTCATGTGGTGGCCCATTCATTCACTATTATGCAGAGGGACATACTTGAGTAGCTCATGCCAACACAACTCCCTCTATATGCTGTATTTACTGCTAGAGCAGTGATTCTCAACCTTTATAGACTCAAGGCACCCCTTGTTAGACTTGAGGCACCCCTCAGAAAATGCCAGATGTTAATTTTCACTGTTTTTTTTGCATATGGAAAAATAACAGAGAAATTCTTCTGTTGCCACAATGGGGCAGAATGTTCTTGACGTTATGGATTCCTACATAAAATCTTTGGCTTTATCGTGTGACGTCTGTTGGTGTTTGCGGACCTAACAGTTCTAATATTGTGCAGCATGCCACAACACCTTTGAAAGGATCTTACAGCATCCCTGGGTGCTGCAGCATGCTGGCTGAGAATCGGTTGGATGTTTAAAAGCTGACACCCTGGGAACTAACCTTTATTGATTGGTGTAAAAGCCCACAAGTGAAAAGGTCATATTTCTTAGGAACCTGGGTCTGGAGGTCAATGTAAATCACCATTTTAAATCCCTTAAAGGACAATGTCATCCAGCCTCCGAATTCTATTGGTAAATGTTTTTACCCACTAAATATGTTGTCAAGGTGGTCACCAGGTTAAGGTGTTTGCCATAATTCCAGAGAATTTAAGCCTTGCTTTAGATTCATGCTGAAGATTAAACCAGATGTGAGCATGTACTTGGTCATTTAGTCAAAGGGATTAAGGGGGCCACATGTGAATGCTGGCCACACTGCTTCCTCATGTGCCAATGGCTGAGGAAGCCAATGTGCCTTAATCATCTATCCAGGCTGGGAAATCATGCTATCAGGTGACTTACAAGGCAAACTGCATTAAATTAATCTCAGATGCTCCCCTAAAGTGGGCAGCCTAGTTGCCATTACTCCTCCCATAGGAGAAGCCAGGTGGGCCCACCATTCATAACCTGGATCTCTGAGTGCTAGTGATCTTTTTACCAGCTGGGTTAATGCAACATACCCAGCTAAGTTTGGCACCGGAGAGTTATTTTCCTTGTGGGGTCTGTGGCTGTGCCAACATACATTTACAAAGACAGAAAGCAGCTTCTTCAAAACAAAGCATTATTCATCCATCCAAAGGTAGGAAGCATGAGGAGCAAGGCATATTTTTTACCTTCCCTTCCACACAATCCAGTTAACCCATTTCTGGTTGCGAGTGGCCGAATGTGGTGTGCTCTGTGTGTCTGTCATCACCCACTTGACCACATTTCTTCTTTGGGACAGCTGAAGATTTCAGCATTTCCTATAATCTTAAGGTTGAGATCTGGTAAAAATACATCTTGCTAGACTAGCTGGAACCAGGAAGGATTTCCCAATCCAGAGCTTTTTTCCTGACTCCTCAGAGATCCTTAGGATTTTCCAACTGTTCCTCTATCATTTTGTGTCTGTTTCCCCTGTCCTACCTCCTTTGATTTATTTCTGCCTAGGCTGGATAACAACACATAGTTAAACCAAGGTACATATGCTATTTATTAAAAAAATGCACATAATTCCCTTACTTTCCCCATTTGTATTCTAAATTGTTTCCAGGGGGTTGCCCATCATGCCCAGACTGCCTGGTTTAATCTAGCTGGGTTCTGGGTGCTGCATGAGCGATTAAGAGATTTACATTTCCTTCCTAGCTCTGACCTAGGGCAAGTTATTTAATAATTCTGTGTTTCACATTTCCTTATCTGTAAGATGGGAATGAAATCACTTCCATGCCTCACATGGATGCTGTAGGATATGTTTTTAATATTTTGTGTGGTGCTTGGTGGAACAGAGCTGATGCTTTGGAAACATGGATTTCAAAACTATTAACTTTATGCATGTTATATGTATCTTAATGGGTTGACTAGTGATTATATTCTTAGCCCAGTGAGTGAACATCATGATGCTTCCTGCAGGAATTATAAGTTACTGGAGGCTTGGGGGAGATAATTAACACAGTGCCCTCATGACCCGATGATGCAGGTGTCTAAGCTGGGTAGTAGCATGCATTATTTTTCCTGGTCCAAGATACTTGGCAGACAAAATGAATAAAACTCTCTGAAGTGACTGCTCTGACCTGGGGAAAGATGTCACTGTGGTGGGCCAGTAGGGGGGCGCTCCTGCGTTGAGCCGCCCACCTCACTGCACCCGCCCACCTTCTAGGCTCCAAGTGCCCTCCCTGGGGTGCCTCCCGTCCGGCCGACCCCTTCCCTGGAGTACACCCGCTAGCCTGGGGTTCCCGCTGCCACCATCCAAGGCTCTGGACTCAATTCTGGCTCTGCGCACCTTGGAAAACGCAGGCCCGATCGTCCAATGGGTACTAGACCCAATACAGGTACTTGGGGCACTTCCCCCAAGTCAGGGGCTTAATAGGAAAGTCTCCCTTAGTCCACAGACCTAAGGGGCGTCCTTGGCATAATTTAGACCCACCCTCAATAAGTCTCCCACACTGGTCACAAGGAGAATTTTACTGATTACAGGGGGTAGGGCGAAAACAGGGTAAAAGGTAGAGCGGTAACATAGAAATATCAGAGGCATATCAGAGGAATCCCATAGAGCAAACCAGTATGGCTGAGGTAGCCTTTTGATCTCGCATCTGAGTTACTGTAAGCTAAATATCTAGTTGGCTCTCGAGTAGCTTACTCACACGCATCATCCAGAGGTGATTGGAGTTTTCCTCTGGGGCAGGGCACTCTTGGAGCATGCGGTGATGAGGAGAGAGCCAGTTTCAGATTCACCTGGGTGACCGCGTGGCTAATGGCTCCCCTTCTTCCTGGCCCGGGCCTTTAAATAACCTTTCTGACCTCAGCAGCCCGGTCCAATCGAAGCTGCCAGTGCTGGCCACTAGCCAACCAATTAAAAAAAGCATCACTGGCTACCTGGGCCGGTGAGTGGGACTTTTCCCTCCCCCTCCCCAGGTGACCAGAGAATCCGCCTCCGAGGCACTAGGCTTTTGTCATGTAGACAGGGAGGAAGATCCCCCGCCCTGAGGGATTCAACACCAGCCTCTCACGCTGGCAGAGACAGATTTCTGGAGAGCGACACAGACGGTGGCATTTGTGCCACACTTCCCCCTGCCCTCCTTTATAAGCTTGGACACAGGGCCTCTCAGGGCCATGGGTCCGGGCATGTCAGGTCAGGGAGTTCCCACGGGAGGCCAGAAAAAGGGGAAAAAAAAGAAAACCTAAAACCTGAAACGAGTTATAACAATAACATACAGAAACCATAAAACCTGATGGGCAGTCTTACAGTACTGATCTCCTCACTAGTCCTGAGCCCAGAGGACCCACTACCCAGAGTCCTTTCGTGACAAGGCATCTGCTATCACATTCTGGCTTCCCTTGATGTGCTCGACAATGAAGTTGAACTCTTGAAGCTGCCAGGCCCATCACTGCAGGTTGGCATTAGTGTTTTGCATGGTCTGCAACTACTGCAGTGGGGCATGGTCCAACAGGACGGTGAACTGTTGTCCCCATAAATAGGGCTTCAGCTTGTTCAGTGCCCAGACGATTGCCAAGCACTCCTTCTCGATAGAGGACAGGTTCTGCTCCCAAGGGATTAACTTCCAGCTGAGGTGCACCACAGGGTGCCGTGTCTCTCGGTGCTCCTGTAAAAGTACGGCTCCTAGTCCTACGTCAGAGGCATCCATTGCCACGTAGAAGGGTTTATCGTGGAGCGGTGCCTTCAGGATCGGTTGTTTGACCAGGGCAGCTTTGAGGGTGTCAAATGCTTCCTGGCACCCCTGCTTCCAGACCACTGGGTCCGGGCTGCCCTTCTTGGTCAGCTCGTGCAGCGGAGCTGCGGTTGCTCCAAACCCAGGGACAAACCGTCTGTAATATCCAGCCAGGCCAAGGAAGGTTCTGACTAGCTTCTTGGTCTGTGGAGGCGGCCAGTCTTTGATGGCCTCGATCTTGTCCCACAAGGGAGCAATATGACCTCCACCCACACGATGACCCAAGTAT